GCATCATGACAACGTACCAATTCACAAGGCACTGTCTGTGAGGGAGTTTCCCTACTCACCTGATCTGGCCCCCAATGAATTCTTTCTTTACCCAAAGATAAAGCAAATATTGAAAGAAAGACATTTTGATGACATTCAGGACAATAAGGGTAATACAATGACAGCTCTGTTGGCCATTCCAGAAAAAGAGTTCCAAAATTGCTTTGAAGGGTGGACTAGGTGCTGGCGTTGGTGCATAGCTTCCCAAGGGGAGTACTTTGAAAGTGACCATAGTGATATTCAGCAAGGAGATATGAGCACTTTTCTAGGATGAGTTCATAAATTTAATTGTCCGGTCCTGTGTGTGTGTGTGTGTGTAGTACATAAAAGCTTCTTACAACTCTCCAATTACCTCCCCACAAAAATAAGGGGCCTAGACCAGTACTTCAGCACCCAATACTCCCTGACCTTTTTCTGGTCCGTGGGCACTACTGAAGATACGCAGTCGCCCTAGGGGCTCCAAGATACACCCCAAGGATTCACTGTGTCTCTCTGTCTCCTCTTCCTCTTCAGCCTCCCAGTTAATAGCCTGAGTGTCCTCCATGATCTGGGAAGGAAACACATTATCATCATCATCTCTAACACTGGCTCACACATAGTCGCAGAGAGGAGACTCACAACTGTGGGTAAACCTGGATAGCTATGGAGGTTGAGGCTTTGCTTTATGCCAAGCATTCTGTTGTTAACCATGTGAAGCCCTGAAAAAATATTTTGATCATGACACAGAATAAGAAATAAATTTTATAAGGTCCCAAGTTCACAAATAGATGCTCCTCAACTTACAAAGTAGTTATATCCTGATAAACCCATTTTAAGTTGAAAATAATCCTAAGTCTGGGTCGGCCGAGTGGCTCAGTTGGTTAAGAGTTGGCTTAAGAGCGTGGGCTCTGAGCAACAGGGCCGCCGGTTTGATTCCCACAGTGTCACTGGCCCAAGCTGAGCTGTCGCTGAGCTGCCAACAGGTGGCCGGATGGCTCAGCTGGTGTAACAAGATTGCCTGTTCGATGGTGGGCTACGTCCACCTGCAACTAAGACTGAACTTGGCACCTTGAGCTGAGCAGTTGCCCAGATGGCTCAGTGGATAAAGCGTGCGATCTTAACAAAAAGGCTGCTGGTTCGACTCCCGCATGGGATGGTGGCTACAACTACCCGCAACTAAGATTGAACACAGCACCTTGAGCTTAGAGGCCACGAACTGCCGACGGGAAGCCAGATGGCAACTGGCGCCCTCCTCAACGAAGATTGAAGAAAAACTTAGCTGCTCCCCTTCCCCAATTCTCCAATAAAATCTAAAAAAGAAAAGAAAAGAAAATAATCCTAAGTAAAAAATGCATTTAATACACCTAACCTACTGAGCATCATAGCTTAGCCTAGCCTACCTTAAATGTGCTCAGTACACTTACATTAGCCTACATTTGAGCAAAATTATCTAACGCAGTCAATTTTATAATAATGGGTTGAATATCTCATGTAATTTATTATGTGTATCACTTTTGCAATATGGTAAAGTCGAAAAATCCTAAGTCAAACGATTGTAACTTGGAGAACGTCTGTATATACAAACACATAAACTTATTTATATAGACAAATGTTTTGAGAAACATTGCTTAGCCTTATTATATGCAATACACTGCTAATTTTCTTTTTTTTTTCTATTCTGTTTTTATTTTTATTTTTTTTTTATTTTTTTTTTAGCTGAGCCATCCTGCTACCTGTTGGCAGCTCAGCGGCTGCTCAGCTCGGGCCAGGACTCGAACCGCTGTTGCTCAGAGCTCAAACCCTTGAGCGAGCTCTTAACCAACTGAGCCACTCGGCCGGCCCTTTCTATTCTGTTTTTAAATGTCATTTGCAACCCACTAAATTGATTTCAATATCCATTATTGGGTTGGCATTCACAGTTTGAAAAACACCATTTTAAAGGGAGCTAAATGTTGCCAAATATCAACTACGTGTTGGGCATTGTGTTATGGTCAGGCATAATAGCCATATGAGGCAGGCATTTAGGAAACTAAGGCTAAAAATATTAAATGTTTGCTCAGGATAACATATCAGGTAAGTGGGAAGGATAGGAATAAATGTGCTCTGGCTGCAAAGCCCTTGCTTTTTTCATTTTATCAGACCATCTCAGTGTGACCAGACTCAACTGACTCATTTAATCATCACAAGAACCCTGTAAAGTATTATTATCTTCTATATCTCAGATAAAGAAACTGCAATACAGATGGGTTAAGGAACTTGCCCAAGGTCACCCAGATTATGTCTCTCTTCTGTTTAATATTCTTTGATGGCTTTCCATGCCCAGGGTATAAAATAAAATCTAAACTCCTTAGCAAGAGCCTCCATGATCTGAATCTCATGTCCTTCAGTGTATTCCCCACCCACCAAAGCCTATGGTTCAGCGACATGGACCTTCTCCCTAATCTCAGAACACACTGTCTCCATTGTCCCCCACATCTGTATGTAGACCAACTCCTTAGCCTTTTGCTCCTAGTTTTCTGGTCCAACTTCTACCCATCCTTTCCGATTCAGTTGAAATGTCACTTCTTCAGGAAAGCCTTTCCTAGAGTCTTCTCTGCTTCCTGGTTGTTTCTGATGTATCCACATGTTCCACAGTGGTCAATGAACTTGCACCCATCCTGACACTTCTAAATTATAACCATTACTTTCTATTTCTGCCTTCACGCCCCCCCCGGAGAGCTGGACCATCAGAACTGTCTTTTCCCTTAGAGCCCATCATATCCTCTTAACAGTAGTTATTTCGCACCTGGTACCATTAAAAGTATTAGGGATACATTCATGAACCAAAAAAGAAAACTAACCCTGCCCTCCTGGAGGTGACATCATCGAGTCTACTGATGAAAGAACCAATGAAAACAGATGAAAATTCAAAATGACAAGAGTGGAATTCACTTAAGGAGATGCTACCCTAGGGGGAAACTGTTGACAGGGAAAGTAGAACGCCTCCAATGGAGACAGTGCTACTCTGTCCTATGGCTGGCGAACTCAGCGGGTGCCCATGACCCTTGGCTCCAATCTAATAGGCTACCACCTTTGATACCCACCGCGGTGGGTTCCCTCCAGGCCCAACGGTCTCCCAGTGTCTTCATACCTAAACTCGGGGTGGAAAGTCAAGTAAGGATGAGTATTATAATCCGAGAAACAAATTTCCTAGTCTCCTCCGCCCAGTCGCACCCAAGGCACGCCCCTCCCCCCCTCCGGGATAACCAAGATGGCACCCGAGCAGCGGCAGGAGAGGCCCCCAAAAACTCACCTACTTTCAGTCCCCGCGCGCGCCACCAATAACGGTCGCGAACCGAGGGGCGCGAGCGCTGCAGCCGGGACGGAACTTTGCGATGATTGGTTCCAGTCGCTGTCTTTCACAGCCCTGCTGCAAGCCGATTGACGAAGCCCCAAAGCGAAGGCACAGCGAAAGCCCCGCCTTCTCCCCTCCCACTTCCGGCTCAAAGAAGAGGCTTCTCCCGAGGATTGAGATCGGTTGAGAAAGGCGGAGGCCGCGTGCGCGCACAGAATAGCGCACCTCGATTGGGCAGCACCAAGAGACTACCCACCACCGCTTCACCGCCCACCGCCCACTTCCCGCGCAGATATCCAAACCGCTACCACGGTCTCGCCGCCGGCGGCGCCTAGAGGGGCTTTCTGCAGTCGTCTCCCGACGCATCTAGTGCGGCCAGAGCGCCCTTCCTAGGTCTTCCCAGATATGGTGGCTGCTGACTCATGAGAAATGAAAATGGGTTGCAGTCGTGGCCTGAGGCTGCAGTTTGGAGAACAGTCCTCAGGCGTGGCGCTTGAGGACTCCCTCACTGCGATAGAAGTTCATTTCCTTTTGATTTGGCTCGTTGAGTAGAAGTCGTGTCATTTCCTCCCTGAGAATACAGCCCTGATAGACATTTGAGGTTATTTTCCTAAAGCAAAGATCCTTAGGCCAAAAGAGAGAACCGTTTTGCTAACCATATTAAAGGCTGACCGAGGTCTTCCAAGAACTGAAGAAAGGCTGATAAAATCACTTATTCATTATCATACTAAGAGGAGGATGGTAACAATTTTGACATGTGTATATAATGTAGAAAGTCCTTTTGCTTTCGTTACTACATTCTGACCACAGCAATCAAATAGGCAGAAGTAGATTATACGAAGAGTCTGCGAAGTTAAATGACTTAGGTTTCTACAGCTAATGTAAGGTAGAGACAAATTAAAACAAGTCAAGTCCTCCTGATTTAAAATTCTGAACTCTCCACTACCATAAAATAACTAGTTTCATTGTGATCATGCCCTAAAACATAAAACATTCTATTTTAAGTTGATGGCCTCCACAACTTGATGTTCTTTTATTTTAAAAGATGACAGAGATGTATGTTGAATTCAATGTGAACTAAACAATGATGACCTTGATAGCACATGTCCTCTGTTACAATACCACACACTTCATTGTGTATACACTTCTCACCAAACTGCAAGGTCCTGGAGGCCAGGGAGCTAATTCATAATCATTTTTGTATCCCTAGCTTTTGGTTTGGTGAACACTTAGTATCTATCGAGTGAGTTAATCCCTGAGAAGCATGTCACTCTGATTTGAGCCCATCCAATTTTCTCCCATGAATTCCGCCCCCCCGCCCCATTTTAAAATTTCAATCCTGAGGCTCTTGAAAGGTTGCAATGATCAGTCAATGAAATCAGCGAACTGAAAAACCACTGACTTAATCAAAGTGTCTAAAGGCAGGCTAGAAAGACTGAAATTCTATCAGGCATTTCACCCCACAGTTCTGTTTGACAAGACCAGTCTTCAACGCTGCTCTAAGGCCCAGATCTCCTACGTGGACAGAGACTTCCCCCTTCACAGATCCCAGATATCAGCTTCTCTAAACCATTCCATTTATTCTTTGAACATACCCTCCAATTACGTCTCTATCCTGCAACGCCCTTGTTGCAATTTTGTTTCTCTTTCTAAACATTGTCATTAGAAAACTCCCAAGGAAATAGCAGGAAGGCAATCCCCTCCTTCCTGAGGTAGCTGGGGGAGCAGTGGCTTAGTGGAGTTCATGCCTTCGGTCACCAAAGGGCCAGTTGTTAGATAGCAGAGCAGGGTGCCCGTTTCTCACCATTTTTCGCTGAGCTAAGCAGTCCTGTCTTCCCCAGAGCTACCACAGCGGGGAGCTTTCAGGGTGTGCCCACTCCACCTTCCAACGCCTGGCACCCTCGGGTTCCTAATTCCTGTAGACCCGAAACGACTCACTTTTTGCATTAAAAAAAACCCCAAAACAAACAAAAACTCAGGCATAGAGGAAAGTCATCTTGCGC